AGTTTCCAATGGGCATCAAAAACCATGTACCAGTCGGTCAGTTAGGTTTAAGTTCGAAAAGGTGATGAAAACGCGGCGCGACTTTCGAAACAGTCGAGTTGTTTTTTTGTGCGGGGGGAGGGCGGGGGGGGGGGGGGGGGTTAAGCATGGTGTGCAGACTGCTATTTTATGTTTTTTTGTTTCCCTTCCGAAACTCGTGCCACGACAGACTTGCTGACATGAGTTTTTTTTTTTTTGGCTTTGGAAACTCAAACCCGGACGCGGCTGCAGTTGTTTCAAAAAAAGTGTTTTTGCATACATCCGCCACTTTCAAGGGCTCGGGGCTACCAGAGCGAAATGCGTAGTGCTGCCAGCCAACAGGAAAAAGAAATTGCGCCGGCACAGTTTGTTTCTTTTCTGGTGCGCGGCAGGATTTCGAATCGGTGAAGCCAGCCGCGGATGTAGTGGTGGTTTGAAAATGTGGACTTCACGCATCTTGTTATTGCACCAGCATCTCATCTGATTTTCTGTTCGACTTGTGTCCGATTGCGTGCTACCGTCTTCACCCGAATAGAACGGCCGGTCATTACAGACGTATGTGGTGCAACTTTCAGTCTAGATACTGCGATAATGACCGGGTGCTCTATTCGGGTGAAAACGGTAGTGGCCATCTCACTGTAGAGGTCATTGTGTGGAGGTACGGGGAAGGTGAGTGGCGTGGCGGGCCATAGCATCCCCTATGGATGCGTTGGAGAAACTGAAAAAATGTTTATTACCCTCGTCGAGGACCTTTTGCTGCAATTTCAAAACTGCTGTGAACTTCTTAAAGGGGTCAGGCATGAGGGCCTAAGCAGTTTCTTAAACTTTCTTTTCTTTTCTTTTCTTTTTTGGCGAGTTCTTTGTTTGGATCTCCCTTTTCTTACCCCTTTCGTTCAGATCTGCCATCTTGTTCCTCATCCCATGGGCAACTTGGGTAATAATAGGCCTTTACCATCTTCACCCGAAACATCACACCCTCGACTTGATCTTACTGAACTGTACTCCTAGCTTGTATACATTTGGGATCCGGGTGCCATGTTTAAAGCGTAAAGATGGTAATGGTGCTTCTACATTCTGTTAAGGGGTCTATCTCACTCTCCATACTTGGAGGTCTGCAGTTTTCTTTTTTTCTCTTGTGGGGTATGTGAGCTTAGGGAGTGGAGTGGACCCTCTGTCCTGTTGAGCTTGAAGGCATGAGCTTCCATCAGTGCAGGATCTCTACAGTTTCCTCTCCTCTCAGCAGCAAAACAGGCTTTTGCAAAAAAGACCGACAAAGAAAAGGAATCTGTTCGGTTGTATGGTGCAACACTGAAGAAACGAGTTTGTCATTGGAGGAGCTCTACAATTTCACTCAGCAGCAAGTCTACAATTTCACTCAGCAGCAAAACAGGCTTTGCTGGAAAAGATGACGAAGAAAAGGAATCTGTTCTGTTGTGTTGATGCAATGATGTTCCTTCTGTTCCTTTTTCGAAGTCGAAGTTATATATAGTCGGTGAAACTCCGAAATAGTTTGTCACAGCCCCTCGTTTGTTGTCGTCTTCTCCCTCTCTCTGCCTACGGTTTACCAAGCAGCTCTGTTTGACCATACATATATATCATCAAACAGAGCTGCCCGGTAAACCGTGGGCAGAGAGGGAGAAGAGGACAACAAACGAGGGGCTGTGACAAACTGTTTCGTCGGAGTTATATGCTTTTTTTTTTTTTTTTTTTTTTTCCCC